AACTGATGTCTGAACCACATAATGAGAGATAGATCTTCTGTGCCGAGTCTTTCAGGGCGGGGGTGGGTGGGTAAAAACAAATGACTGCAGACAGTGTTGAATAAATAACTCAAAACTGTTGACACTGGCTCAGAGATGTATTCTCTCCTTATCGTCTTGCAGGTAATAAAACTTTTTTTTAAACTGATCTTCGTTTAATTCGCTTTCTGACACATTCACTTGTCTTTTTTCAACTGTGTAATAAGTGTCACGGTTCAGTAAGCTTTCCGTTTCTGTCGGTCGGTCAGTCGGTTTTCGACAAAGAACTTTGCACAAATGTGCGGCAGTTCAAGTCGCCACACTCCATGTAGCACACAAAGCAAGAGAAGAAAGTAGGAGAAATGCATAATAATGACAGTAAAGAGAGGTGTGAGACAAAGGTATAGTAATAACGGAGAACAATATAGTTTCATTGGGAATCATAACTCATAAGGAGCGGATGCATCTGCGCCAGCCATTGAGAACGAGGATTTTCAGCCATATCACCAATTGTTTCCAACCATTGGTTTCTACCATCCCGAGGAACCCAACCAGTCAGGAAGTCTACACCTTCCTACGTGGCTGGCTGAAACTAACTATTGTGGATTTCATTGACTGGTGCCATGTTTTGGTTTGACTGCCGCTAGCTCTTTTCCAGTCTGACCCTATATCAGCTAACATTACCCATTGTCAAGGAAGGCGATGACTAGGCATGTATGTATAACACATGTCCTAACCATCTCAGTCGATGCAGCTGCTTCACAGCCTCGTCGACTGATTTCCCCTCATTGCTTACCTAGAACTCGACGCCTTACCTCAATATTGCTCACCTTATTACACCTACCACTTCACACGGGAGATAGAACACAGGCACCTATGATCAAAGACAACCAGCCAGCCAGCCAGCCTTTTCATATCTTCCACTCTCAATGGCCAGGTCTCACCAACAGCCATAAAGGAGGACGGAGCGGACTCCTGAGCAGTACACACGCACTTGGGTCGATAGCCAGCCGGATATCACGTCTATATCAGACACGGCATAAACTGTCATATCCGAAACTAGCCCTCAGTATCCATACTGAGATTTCGTCAGAGATCAACCCGTTGGCGCTGATGCAACTTCCCAAATAAGTGAAGTCGTCAACGTGCTGTACCACTTCACTCCCTACTTCTAAACTAGGAGTCAGTGTAGTCCAGTCCTGTAGCCTCATCATCTTACATTTGGCGGGAGCGAATCGTATGCCAAACATACGAAGATTGCTGTTCAAGGTGTTCTGTTCCAGTGTAACTCTTCAGTTGGATGGAAAGCTCGATGCGTCCAACTACCTCACTAATGTATTCATACAACGAAATAAAACCGTGAATCCAAAACATTCTCGTTTTGTCATCCTGTGTTCAAAATAATACTTCTCGTTAGCGTTTTCATTCGATAGGATTCAGTCGTTTGCATACTCAACTACAGTGTCTCTTGCAAGGATGTCAAGTAAAATTAAAGAGATTCATAAGCACGTGTATAATAAATTGGTATGTAAATGGAATGAGTGGACATTCTTGGCGTATACACGTCATTAGATTAGTAGTAACCTTAAACGCTAATTTGACTAACAATGTTGTTCGAGCATAGGATCTTGATGTAGGAGATGAAGGTGGCGTATATCCGTTGCATTAAACGTCACTGTGATCAATTTTAAGCGATATTTTTGTTGACTGTTGGTTTCTTATATCTCACAGTCTAGTCAGTTGGTCAAAGTCAAAAGCTAGGGTTCTTGTACAGGAACTTTGAGGGCTTGAAAACCTATAAGTCGATTGACTAAGGTTCAAATCTGTACCCCCCATTGATTGTAAATCAACTTGAGACCATTGGTTCACTCTTTTATAATTGGGCTGCTTAAATAGGAAGTGCTCAGAATGAGGATGAAAATTGTTTAGTGTTTTCTGAACTTTGATTGTTCCATTTTTTGTAACCATTGTGTTTAGTTTCATCACTTGGCATCTGTTACTACCTCTAGACAGTGACTGATTTTTACAAGAAACTAATTTCCTTCAAAGTTTCAGTGATTTGATCCGGTCACTGGTCTACGCTAAATGAGCCATAAATAAGCCGTAGAACTTTTATTTATTGTCGTATTATTATTATTGTTTCCTTTAATTCCTAGAGGAACATAGGGCTTCAGCCGAACGTCTCCATTGCGTTCGGTTCTCTGCTAGAGTCTTCACCTGGCTCCAAATCTGCCCACACGCTTTCATTTCCTCTTCACATGACCTCCTCCAAGTCACCCTCGCACTGACGACCAACTCGCCGCTTCCCTTTCGGGTTCCACTCGAGCGATGGCTTGTCTAGTGATGTCACTTGATGGTTTTCTCAGAGTATGGCCAGCCAATCCACCTCCATTTCTTCCTGCCTATTTGTTTCACAATCGGTTCCTGCTAGGTTGATTCGCTCCCAGAGATCTCTATTGTTGATCTTTTCTGGCCATCTGATCTTGAGTATTGAGCGAAGACAACTGTTAATGAAGGTCTGTAGTTTGTTTGAGATGCTCTTTATGACGCGCAGTGCAAGTCTCTGATCCGTATGTTAAGTAGCACTGACTGATTTCACATTGGAGTTGAAAATCCGGATGTTATTTTTGATGCTGAGTGCTGTTGACCTCCACACAGACTTGAGAGTAGTGAAAGCTTGTCTTGCTTTTTCGATTCTTGCTTTGATATCCTCGTCAGTTCCATTCGCCTGTAGTTGAAACGATGCTTTCCAGTTTGGTATGTGAAGGCGGTTGTTTCTTTCAGGTTCTTACCATTTATGCTGATTGTTGTCTGTTGTTGTTGTTGCTGTTGCCTAGTAATTCCATATTAGTTTGTTTATTAGGTATATCACACAGTGAAACAGTATTATTTACTGGATGACGTTTCGAACAAAATTTATTGTTCATAATCATATCAATTGTGATCACACGACTTTGACACTTGAGTTTTATAGTTTTCTTTGTTCTCTCCTATTCGTCGTATGGGTAGTAGAATTTTCCAAATATCGGGGACAGGTGATGAATCATTCCTATTACATGTATTTGTAGTTGATTCGATAAACAAAGCTTCTGTTATCAATCTCTCCCTATACCCTGTGACATTAGATTTTAAAACTGTCATCCTATCCCATCCTATTGTATGGTTGTGTGTGACTGCATGTAGTGCTATTGCTGAACTATTCTCTAGATTTCTTATCTTATTCGGGTCAACCAATCTAGATTTTCCTAAGTTTTTATGTTCAGCTAGTCTGACTGCCCCTGTTCTACTAGTTTGACCTATGTATTTGACCTGACAATCACTGCAGGGTATTAGATAAACTAAATTGTTTTGTTTTAAAGGCTCTACAGGATCCTTTAACCGACAAAGCTTGTTTCTAATTGAGTTTGTGGGTTTGAATGCCGTTTTTATTCCTGCCTTGTTAAGAATTCTGCGTAAGGCTTCCGAGGTTCCTTCCTTGTATGGAATTACTACTGATGATTTAGATTCTTTATTGTTGGTGTCGTCATTAATATTATTATTATTATCACTATCATTATTATTGTTATTATCACTATCACTACTATCATTATTTATTTTATTTTTACTTTTCTTTACATATTTCCTGACTAATTTATCCGGGTAATTATTAAGTTTTAAGGCTTCTTTTATGTGTGTTAGTTCCTGTTTTAGATTTTCTTTGGTACTACTTAATTTTTGTGCTCTGTCATTTAAACATTTCACCAATCCTATTTTTACTGACATAGGATGGGATGATCGGAAGTCCAAATATCTGTTGGAGTGTGTGGGTTTCCTGTAAACACTAGTGTTTACCTTCCCATCTTCTTTCCTCATTACGTTACAATCTAACATTGGGAGCTCCCCTTCCTGATTTTCCAATTCATAAGTGAATTGAATTGCTTCAACCTTAGAGTTGATATGTTCGAAAAATCTATCTACATCTTGTGTTCTAAGTACAGTGAATGTGTCGTTTACGTACCTCCACCATACTTTTGGGGTGGGGGTGAACGTTTTAATCGCTATGCTTTCCCACTTATTCATGAATATATCTGCTACCACTGGGGATATTGGTGATCCCATGGCAACTCCCTCAGTTTGTTTGTATATTTTCCCTTGGAATTTAAATACTGTGGAAGTCAGGCATAGCTGTACTCCCAGCATTATGTCCTCAAGTGGCACTTTTGTCCTAAGTTCGAGTTCTTGGTCAGAAATGAGTTCGTTTCTGACTGCCTCTATAGCCATATTTATTGGTATACGTGTGTATAAACTGACAATGTCAAAACTAACCATTTCTTCCTCATTATCTAATTTTAAATTATCTAATCTGCGTTTGAGTTCATAAGAATTAGTTAGTCTAGATTTCGAGTGGATTTTTAGGGGATTTAATACCATGGCTAAATATTTAATAAATTTTGTTCGAAACGTCATCCAGTAAATAATACTGTTTCACTGTGTGATATACCTAATAAACAAACTAATATGGAATTACTTGTTGCCTAGTAATCTTCATCACCTCTGTTTTCACTATGTTCACCTGAAGTCCTATCTTCCCTGGATGCTTCTTCTGCCAACTTGTTGCTTTTCACTTGCATATCTTCCAATTTGTGTTAAATCAGACACATATATGTCATTGGCAAAGTTCAGATCCTCCAAGTTTTTTGTGTGGGTCCATTTTATGCCTGTTTCCTCGCTGCCCGCTGTCTGTCGCATTATCTAATCTACTGCAATCAGGAAAATTATTGGCTCTGTATTAATTTAAAGTGTACAATTTTACCATAAAAGGTGAATTTTGTTAAACTCAATCTAACCTTGGAATGGTGTGACTTGTAAGTGCTTGTAAGTATTCCCATCCATTTGAGACACTTCTGAATAGTTCTTTAATAAATCAGTCTTTTAAATTCCTTACAACAATTGCTTAACTATTCTAAGCATTACTTTCACCTGTGTATCACTTTTCTTTTTAGACCAACTTAGAGGAATCGATTCTAATATGGATAATATTCGTGAAGATCTAAAAGAAGCACAACGTGATCTTGATGAAATAGACAAGTGTTGTGGTTTATGCGTTTTACCATGGAGAAAGTGAGTTAGTTACACACTGTTTGTTCAATCAAACCGTAAGCTCTGTGACTTGACTGGTGGGGTGAAATTGTAGTGTTTGTTTTGTTTTTTCTCGGAAAAAATTCATGTACTGTTTTAAAATAAATTAAAATCCACGAATCCGTTTACATTTCATCGGTGGCTTAGCGAGCGGTAGGAATGCTCGCCACCCACGCCTCATGTGGTCTGGGATTCAGTCCCCGGCCGAAGCACTCTTACACCTCGTTAAACCGGTAATAAGATTGGTGAAGCGAGAGGGTTGGGCATGCGGCTACTGAAACTTTAAAAGCCTTAACTTGAAGTTTTGGGAACGTAAAGCAATAAAAAGAAACTAAACAAATAGTAATCCGAATATAGGTGTTTTCTTTCATGGTCGCAATCTCTTTGACTTAGAATATGCAGATGATATAGTCCTTCTAGGCGAGGACGCTGACAAAATGCAGAGTCTTCTGAACACCTTGAGCTGCAATCTACGAATGTTTGGCATGCGATTCGCTCCCGCCAAATGTAAGATGATGAGGCTACAGGACTGGACTACACTGACTCCTAGTTTAGAAGTAGGGAGTGAAGTGGTAGAGCACGTTGACGACTTCACTTATTTGGGAAGTTGCATCAACGTCAACAGGTTAATCTCTGATGAAATCTTAGTACGGATACAGAGGGCTAGTTTCGGATATGTCAGTTTACGCCGTCTCTGGCGTAGACGTGATATCCGGCTGGCTATCGACCCAAGTACGTGTGTACTGCTCAGGAGTCCGCTCCGTCCTCCTTTATGGCTGTTGGTGAGACCTGGCCATTGAGAGTGGAAGATATGAAAAGGCGGCTGGCTGGCTGGCTGGTTGTCTTTGATCATAGGTGCCTGTGTTCTATCTCCCGTGTGAAGTGGTAGGTGTAATAAGGTGAGCAATATTGAGGTAAGGCGTTGAGTTCTAGGTAAGCAATGAGGGGAAATCAATCGACGAGGCTGTGAAATTACATCGACAGAGATGGTTAGGACATGTGTAATACATACATCCCTAGTCATCGCCTTCCTTGACAATGGGTAATGTTAGCTGATATGGGGTGAGGCTGGAAAAGAGCTAGCGGCAGTCAAACCAAAACATGGCACCAGTCAATGAAATCCACAATAGTTAGTTTAAGCAACCAGCCACGTAGGAAGGTGTAGACTTCCTGACTGGTTGGGTTCCTCGGGACGGTGAAAACCAATGTTTGGAAACAATTGGTGATATGGCTGAAAATCCTCGTGGGGCCACTTCAACATGCATATATATACCTATCCACTTGCTCTTGTGGAGTTGAGTACATAGACCGTACCATGCTTCCGCCTGTAAAACATGCTCGGCAACACTATCCAGCATGCTAGCAAAGGGAGAACGCAAGCGTGTATATAGTTCGGTAACAGAACTATCTTGTGAATTCAAGGCATTCAGCCTTTCTTTTGAAAAATCCTTCGAAGTTACATACAAGATTCAATCAAATCCCTTAAAGGGAGTGAAATCAATCTAGGCATAGCTGAGACGTTAGCCTCCCAAAGTTCAAGCCCATACTCTGTATTCAAAAGAAATATCGCCAAAAGTTGTGTCTCTACCATGGCTGTCATAAACATTCAGTCCTCTGTATAGGGATCATCCTATTACCTTTCTTAGCCAATCTTCCTGTTTATTTCTGTTATGTTTACGTTTTTTTTAAAAAAATTTCCCATTTGCACTACTGTGTTTTTTTATCAGACCTTCTTGCCTATTTTGTTATTACTACACTTTTAATCCCTAATTGCACAAAAAGTCAAGTGTGTATCAGTAATTATGATCCTATTATGCTTTTTACTCTATCTTCTTGTTTATTACACTTTGTAATCTTATTAATTTGACCCTTAACCGGAAATAATTCTGGATCTTCCTCACCCATTTACCATATTATTATTACTATTATTATTATTCCTTTGGGGTTCCGAGTGGAACATAGGGCTTCAACAACACATCTCCACTTTGTACTATTTTCCACTGTCCTCTTTGACTGGGTTCAGGATTGACTATAATCTCTCATCTCCTCCATATCACCCTCGCACTGACGACCCACTCGTCGTTTCCCATTCGGATTCCACTCGAGCGATAGTCTGCATTGAGCACCATGTCATTCAACGGTTTCCTCAATGTATGCCTGACCCATCCATCTCCATTTACTCCTACATATATGTTGAGCGATCGACTCTTGTGGTTGGTGGTTTGTCGTCAGCCAGCCAGAATTTTCGTGTTGCTCATTCTTTCTGGCTGGCTGGCTGACCATTTGGTCTTCACTACGGAGCCCATTTATTACTCTATAAATACACATGAATGTACAGCTATCTAGTTGATAACTTCGTCGAAAAGAAAAAAATTTCTTCACTGCAACTATCTGTTTAATATCTTACGAAAATATTAAAATCTTCCACACATATATGTAGGCGTCTTAGGGTTTCACTGTAACACTCCAAAGCCTCAGGATGGTCGGGGGTGGGTGCCTTGCGCTGCGGGTTGGTCACCCTTCCGCACACCTCTCGAAATGCTCCCATATGACCAGGCGTCTTACATAGCCTCTCCTGAGGAAGTCCTACTCACTGCCTTCACGTGGTGGAGGTGTTTTTCACCAAAGTGAGAGGGCGAAAGCGGATGCTCGGCGCTCTTCACCGGGTTGACTGTCCATTGGATGACAGTCTAGGGGAGATGGCTAAACCCTGATTCCAAACCTCCAACGACTGGCGTATGAAGCTCACTGGAGCTCACCGGCAGACGTATGGACAAAGGGCTTGTTGGATGTCCTGGATGTCTGGCCCCATTCAAAAAGGCGTATGAATTGAACTCCGGTCACCGGCTGCCAATGGATAGTGGACTCCCTACTCCACTCCTACTGCCTTGTAGGTCACACTTGGTTGTGTAAAGGCTAGAGCTGCACTCTCAAACAAAAGGCCGAGCGATTCTGGGGACATCACTCGTACCAAATTCCCATGAAACTTCATGAACTCTCTTAATTGAATAACCCTGTTGCAAAACGTTGCATCAGATCGCCGCTCCTAGGCACCGATGATTCGAGATGTTCATGAAGCCGGCTCATCCTCCCGTAGGAGATAGCCGAAGTAAAGTAAAGTAAGTAAGATTATTTTTGATGGAATCTTTTGTGAAATATATGCCTTGTTTCACCACATTTCCGTTACAATGTTATCTACATCGTTGCTAGAAACTTGAGGTCCAGATTATTATTATTTTCTTCACTATATCTTCTCTCTGCTTGTGATACTTTTAGAGTAAAGAGTGACGTCAAAGCACCAAAGTATGCATCAAATGCAAATGGACATCTTGCAGGAGTTAATAATTATTCTAATTATCAAACTGGTAATCCTTATGGAAATGCATATCAAACACAAGGAGGTAATCAATTACAAGGAGGACAACCAGTATCCGGACCATTTATCAACAGGTTAGTAGTAAAGCTTTTGCATTCTTCTCGTTCACACTTTACATGTGTGTATGTGTCTTGTATATATATATATATATATATATATATATATATACATAGTCCTTCAAACTAATACTGTAACAACAGAAGACAAGGGCCAGGCAACAGATCGTTTATTAAGGAAATCAAAGCATATTTATATATTTTCATGTACATTATTATAGATTAGTTAAGCAAACAAACACAGTCTTCTGATTGGTTGTTTCTCACTTAAAGTTAATCTTTCATCTCTTTGTGACTGTTTCTTGAATGTCAGATCATCTAAATGGTAACTGTATCCGCCTACGCAAAGTCTGCTGTGGTCGGTTTTGAATCAATCTTTGTTCATATTTTCTCACGACAAATCTTGAGAACGTAAATATTGACGTAAATTACTGTCTACCAATTTGGCTAATAGACAGCTCTCACCACAATACTAGTCACAGTAAATGACAGACAAGGTGGTATCCAAGCTTTCCTAATAACTATTTGAAGTATTATCTAAAATTAAGGTTAGAATCATAGAATATCATCAAAGTTATACTTCATATTGCTAGTGTGAAGAAATTGAGTTGTAATCAATGCTAATATGACACTGTAATATACTGTCCGTTGTTCCATTAGTAAGCGCCATTGGATTTCTACTACTATGTCATCCGAATTGATTAAAGCAAGAAGAGTGATTCCGGTGATCTCTGAATATGATGAGGAGTGAAAGCTGCTCAGATGCAAACTACGTCAACTCCTAGCTTAGTGATAGGGAGTGAAGTGATAGAACATGTTGACCACTTCACCTATTTGGGAAGTTGTATCAGCACCAACGGATTGATTGGTGACGAAATCTCAGCACGGGTCCAAAATGCTCGAGCTGCTTTCGCTAACTTACACCGTCTCTGGCGTAGGCGTGACATCCGGCTGTCAACCAAGGGACGTGTATACTGCTCAGCAGTTCGCTCCGTCCTTCTCTGTGGTGGTGAGACGTGGCCATTGAGAGCGGAAGACATGAAGAGATTGTCTGTTTTTGACCACAGATGTTTACGATCTCTTTCTCAAGTTAGGTGGTATAATAAGGTAAGTAATGTTGACGTTAGGCGTAGAGTGTTGGGCAAAGAGGGGAAATCAATCGAAGAAGCTATAGAGTTACATAGATTGAGATGACTAGGTCACGTGCTGCGCATGCCTAACCATCGCCTCCCCCGACGGACGGGCATTACTAGCTGATATAGGTGTAGGTTGGAAAAGAGTAAGCGGTGGCCAAACAAAAACATGGCATCAATCAATCCATGAAATCCTTGACAGTTAAACTGAGTCAGGTAGGGAGGTGCAGACTTCCGGGTTGGGGCCCGCCCCCGGGACTCTAAGAATCAATGGCTGGAGACAATAGGTGACATGGCTCAAAATCGTTGTCAATGGCTTACGCAGATGTATTCAGTCTCTGTAATCTTTCATATTCCTTTCTACCATTACTCATTGTGTTTCACTCTTATACTTGTCAAAACTCTACTGATTCCCTTCACTCATTTTCTTGTCTGCCTTTGTGTGCTATTTGGAACGTGGCAACTGGAACTGCTGCATTTCGGTGCCGAGTTCTATGTTGAATCCAGACAGAGACAGACAGACAGATGCAAAATGTCAAGAAGTCTTCGTAACGACCGAGAACATTGGTGGGTGACACAAGCGAAAGAGATCGGCGATCGGTAACACCAGACAACCATTTAGGCTTATCAGGGAGACAGGTAGCAAAAAGCAATTGATGAGTGAGCCAATCTTCGAGAAAAGTAGCACCATAATTAGCTTCCAGGATTAGACGACTGGAACGTTAGAAAGAACACTTTGGAGCAGTTTAATTGGCCTACAGCCACACTCAACTTACCGAACATCCAACATCTCCCTGCATGAGATATAGACACAGGTCCTCCGTCCGTAACTGATCTGAAACGATGCAAAGCAGTGGGACCTGATGGAATGACTCCCAAGGTGTTTAAGGATGGCGGAAACAGTTTACTGTCTAGGTAAACTAAAGTATTAGGCAGCGTCTGGGAATCAGAGATAGTCCTGTTGGGCTGATGTAAGTCATTGATTATCCCCATATACAAGAAGGGAGACAAGTCTTCCTGTGATAATCGCAGTGGGATTGATTTGACCAATATATTATCTGAAGTTTACGGCTCAGTAATCATACGTAGACTAAGCGGTCCACAGGAGAAACAAACATGAAAGAACTAGACAGGCTTTAGACCAGGAAGAAGGTGTGTTGATCATATCTTCACCCTTTGACAGATTCTGGAACATAGGCATACCTACTGGCGTCCAACAATTGTTATATTTCTTGATCTGACCGAGAGGTACTCTGGCAATGGTTGAGAATGAATGGAATGCCGAGAAAACACATACCACTAATCGAGGCACTCTACCCGGACTCATGCAGTCAGCCAGGAGAAAGCCTACGGAGAGCTGTCATCCGAAGTGATGACAACCAATGGTGTCCGTCAGGGATGCCCACTGTCTCCATTTCCGTTTAATTTCATCATAGATGTACTAACAGACCTAACCCTTATCTACGCCATCTCTGGCTTAGTAGACGTGATATCCTACTGGCTGTAGACCAAAGGACGTGTGTACTGCACAGTAGCAGTTCTCTCCATCCTCCCCTATGGCTGTCAGTGAGACATGGCTGTGAAAGTGGAAGATATGAAAAGGCTAGCTGTGTTTGATCATAGGTGACTGAGTTCTATCTCCCGTGTGAAGTGGTATCATAGGGTGAGCCATATTGAGTTTAGGCTTCGATCGAGTGCTAGGTAGGTGGGAGGGAAAATCAATCGACGAGGTTGTGAGGTTACACCGATTGATATGGTTAGGGCATGTGTTACTCATGCGTGGCTAGCCATCACTTTCGTAATCTCAGCTGACTGACATAGGATGGATCAGTTTGGTAAAGAGCTGCTAGTGGTCAAGAGAAAGCGTGGTTTCTTTTTCAGTCAATGAAATCCATAGCAGTTTGAGGCAGCCTGCCACATGGGGAGGTGTAGACTTACTAGCTGGTTGGGGTTCTCACGCTGGTAAGTGCCAATGACGGCTGGAGCCAGACTATTGATGATATGGCTGAAAATCCTCGTTCTCAGTGATAGCGCTGATGTATTCACTCTTTGTGATTTGTCGTATGTATCCAATAGAACTCTATTGTTCTTCAGTATTACTTTTCTTTTTCTCTCTCTCACACACATCTGTTGATGAATCTCTCTCTACTCTCTTCTTTAATGTTTATTGGCGATGCTTGGCTGTAAAGGGAATGCCGAGAAAATACATTGCAGTGATTAAGGCATTCTACTCGTACTCATGCAGCCAGGTGAGGGCTTATGGCGAGTTGTCATCTGAAGTGGTGACGATTAGTGGCGTCCGTCAAGGATGCCCATTATCCCCATTCCTATTCAACTTCGTCATACACGTACTAATGGACTTAACCCTAACTCACTTCAGAGACTCAGGGATTGACTTGCTACCAGGGAATAATCTCGTTGACTTAGAATATGCGGACGATATGATCCTTCTAGGCGAGGACGCTGACAAATGCAGAGTCTACTGAACACCTTGAACAACAATCTTTGTATGTTTGGCATGCGATTCGCCCCTGTAAAATGTAAGATGATGAGCTGCAGGATTGGACTTCACCGACCCCTAGATTAGAAATAGGAAGTGAAGTGGTAGAGCACGTTGACGACTTCACTTACTTGGGAAGTTGCATCAGCGCCAACGGGCTGATCTCTGACGAAATCTCAGTACGGATACAGAGGGCTAGTTTCGGATATGACAGTTTACGCTGTGTCTGACATAGACGTGATATCCGGCTGGCTATCGACCCAAGTACGTGTGTACTGCTCAGGAGTCCGCTCCGTCCTCCTTTATGGCTATTGGTGAGACCTGGCCATTGAGAGTGGAAGATATGAAAAGGCTGGCTGGCTGGCTGGTTGTCTTTGATCATAGGTGCCTGTGTTCTATCTCCCGTGTGAAGTGGTAGGTGTAATAAGGTGAGCAATATTGAGGTAAGGCGTTGAGTTCTAGGTAAGCAATGAGGGGAAATCAATCGACGAGGCTGTGAAGCAGCTGCATCGACTGAGATGGTTAGGACATGTGTAATACATACATGCGTAGTCATCGCCTTCCTTGACATTGGGTAATGTTAGCTGACATAGGGTGAGGCTGGAAAAGAGCTAGCTAGTGGTGATCAAGCCAAAACATGGCATCAGTCAATGAAATCCACAACGGTTAGTTTAAGCCACGTAGGAAGGTGTAGACTTCCTGACTGATTGGTTTGGGTCCTCGGGACGGTAAAAACCAATGGTCACTGGAGACAATCAGTGATATGGCTGAAAATCCTCGTTCTCAATGGCTGGTGCAGACGCATCCACTCCTTGTGACTTATGATTTCCAATGAAATGTTTTGATCTTCGTTACTACTATTTCTTTGTCTCACACCTCTGTTTACTGTTTCTATTATGTATTTCTCCTACTTTCTTCTTTTGCTTTGTGTGCTACATGAAATGTGGCTACTTGAACTGCCGCACACATGTGCAAAGTTCTTTGTCGAAAACCGACCGACTGACTTTTCTTTTAGTTTTTGTTCTACAAGGGGGAGAGAGAGAGGCAAGTTGAACTGCTGCATATCTGTGCGAAGTTCTATGTTGAAAGCAGTCAATTACACGTTAATTTTACCTCATTGTATACATAATATTCAATATTTTTTTTAAAAAAAACAACTTTACACGTACTGAATAAATGGTGTTATCATTTGTGAGAGGTGTGTTTGCGTTAGCTTCTTGTACGTCACATCTATTCGGTGTGTATATGTAACTTATACTCTGTCTGTGTTTGTTTGCGATTTCTTCTTCTTCAAGAATCACTAATGATGCCCGTGAAGATGAAATGGAGCAGAATTTACAACAAGTCTCTGGTATGGTTACACAGCTTCACTCTATGGCTACTGATATGAATCAAGAAATAACTACACATAATAAAATCCTTGATCGTATAGATCAGAAGGTATGTTTACTTTCATTAGTTATTCATACTCATAACTTTTACGGGTTAATAACGGATTGATATCAGTTAGAGAAGCATTGAAAACCAGCCACATGGAGTACTGGACAGCTGTTTCCTCCGTCCTAGTTTGGGAATCATCGGCAGTACGCACCCACCACCAGGCTTCGAACTCACGACCTTCCGGTTACAAGGCGAGTTTGTATACCTTTCAGCCACTGGGACCCGATTCAATAGCCAGCTCATAAATTCCAACTTCTACCGATTCGTGATTCAGCGCGACCCCATCCAATGTCATCAGTGGGACATACATCCTCACACGTGACTGCATCGACCTCACTGGTCACGACTTCTCACTAGAACTTACTCCAGGAAACGCCATCCTGTAGCAAGTCACTCACTAGCGAGCATCACATTCATTTTCTATAGTTTGGTTTGTAAGAATTAGTTTTGTTGTTACGAGTTGATCACGGATTGATATCACAGTCAGAGAACCATTGAAAACCAGCCACATGGAGTACTGGACAGCTGTTTCCTCCGTCTTAGTTTAGGAATCATCGGCAGTACGCACCCACCACCAGGCTTCGAATCCACGATCTACCGGTTACAAGGCCAGCGAGCTCGTATAGCAATCAACCCCTAGGACCTGACTCGATTCAGTGGCCAGCCAGCACATGAATTCTAACTTCTACCAATTCGTGATTTAGCGCGACCCTAACCAATGTCATAACTTTTCATCTATGTTGATGATATGATTAGTGCATATTTTTTTTTAAAAAAAACGTAAATCTGTTATTTTTTAGTATAGTAAGTAGTAGCAATAGTAGTACTCAGTTTTCAGCTGTTGAATCTATACACTTGACTTTTGTCCCACTTAGTAAAGTTGAAATATTCAAGCGCTTATCATACATCCATACCGCACAGATATGTATAGTAGTTTACAGTACAAACTTGTAGGTGTAGATGAGGTAATGCGGGAATACTGGAGACTTTAGTTAACATCTGAGACCCTCCCTACGTAGAATTCTTAATAATACAGGAATTAGAGTGGTAGGACAAGCTCTGTAGGCTGAAACACCCGGTGGACCCAATTAAACAAAATAATATAATTTACAAAATACCCTGGAATGACTATGAGTGTGTGGTCAACCACATAGGTCAAACAAATACATCAGGATTAGTGAGATTATCAGAACATTAAGAATTTAGCTAAGGTAAGAGTGGTGAGTAATCAATCTCTCCCTATCTCACCACCTACCTATATTACTTCTTAGAGTTATTACCCTCTCCCACCCTATTGTGTTGTTGTGTGTGTTAATGCATGCAGTGCAATCGCTGAGGTTTTTTCTAAACTACTTATCTTCACGGGTGAGTGGAGTCAACCATTCTTACCTTAGCTAAATTCTTATTTTCCGACAATCTGATTACCCCCGATCTACCAGTTTGACCTATATAGTTGCACTCATAGTCATTCCAGGGTATTTTGTAAATTATATTATTTTGTTTAATTGGGTCCACCGGGTGTTTCAGCCTACAGAGCTTGCCCTACCTGAGTGAGTTTGTAGGTTTGAATGCCACCCTAATTCCTGTTTTATTAAGAATCCTACGTAGGGAGGGTCTCAGATATCCCCCTCCTTATATGGTAGAACAGTAGATGACTTATATTCTTATGACTTATTATGACTATAAAAACACTCATATTATTATTTCTGAATGTACATTATCCCATATAAGTTTTTTTTTTGAAATATCTAATCAATTCCACTCGTGTATATAAATGAAGCAAGAAAGTTGTGTGAGTGAGTGACTTGATATGATGATTATGAGTGGCAATAATTTGTGCTCAAAACGTGGTCATCAGTTAATATTACTTAATGTATAACAGTGTGTGACAGTTTATCAAAATAAAATCTTATCCATAATGGAGTTATACTCTATACTTATATCAATACCTACATCTCTTATCACTGGATCCAAGCGTATCAGATGACAATTTAATAATTCTATAATTGAGAAGAATAAGAAGTTCAGCAAAGATATCTTTTCGGCGATTTCATTTTCAAAAGCTGTACAATCGCATTTAAATACATAATTTTACATGGAGACAATTCTTGTTTGATTCTACATAATTATGACAGCGAATAAAAGGTGATAATTATTTCCAACTAGATATGGTTATACGAGAGGCTTAGAAACAAAAATTACGCAGGATTAGAACGGATATCAAGTGTGTAAAAATGAGCATGGATACAAAATTGAAATAATAATTTTCAACTTGAGATGGGAATCAGGAGGTGCGAATATAGATTACAAGAGCCTTAGAAACAAAATTACATGGAATTTAGCAAATTACAGGTGTGCAGAAAGTGAGCATGGAAACAAAATTGATATAATAGTTTTAACTTAAAATGGAAGTTAGGAGGTGTGAATATAGATTACAAGAGCCTTAGAAACACAAAATAATTGCACAGGATTAAGATATAATTGCAAATTTTTTAAAAACGGATTATAAATGTGAACAGGAAAAGCATGGAAACAAACTTAAAATAAATGTTTTTATAACTGGAAAAAAAATGGGGTGAATCGAATGAAGACTGAGGGAGTAAGAATCACACACATAGCGAACGAAAAGGGATAAAAAAACAAAACAAAACAAAAACAGAAACAAAAACGGAAGCTACGGTAACATACCGAACTAAGTCCATGGTAGTTGTAGAGGTTGAACTAATTTCTTTTGGACACACAGCTCCGGCTTCTCGATGCATATTGCGAGGGCTTCTGCAGTACAGAGAAGTCGGAAACAAACTGCTTTCGGTAGGTTTCTGTTGACTTTGTAAATTACTTTGAATGAATCAGTTGAGATGTTGTGGGAGGTATTGATCAGATGCTCAATAATGGCACTTCTGATTGAACCGGTGCCTCCTCTTTGCAGCCACGCTGGGTAGTGTTCTCTAACACGTTTTGAAAGGACGCGCATACAACGACCTATGTACCTTGCTCCGCACGAGCAGGTGAACTGGTAAATGCACATTGAATTGGCCATATGCGACAGTTTGTCCTTCCCATTGCTCCGAAGAAGTGGGCGGCTAGAGAATGTCACTCTTAGAGTTGCTGCCGGAAAAGTCTTCTTCAGGGATTTGGAGATTCTCCTTTTAAGGATATCTGCTGCCAGGTCTCCCCTGAATTCCAGATTCAGATAGAGTGTCTTCTTTTGCACTGAAATGTATTCTTCTCTTTTTGGCCTTGGTTTCATGTTCTTCTCCACGAAACGCGGCGGGTATCCGTTTTGAATCAGGATGCTTTTTAGGAATAGGAGCTCTTCTTCTAAACAGTCATCACTGCAGATTCTTCTGGTGCGGTGGGCTAGTGAGATGATGAGAGCTCTTTTACGGCTGATAGGTATCCAACTGTAGAAGTTTGTCAGCTGGCCATTCCATGTTGGTTTTCTATGGATAGATCTTTTCAGAGTTCCGTCGTCTCTTCTTGTCAATTCGACGTCCAAGAATGGAATCTTTGATTTATTTTCAACTTCCATTGTGAATTTAATTGAAGGATGACAGTTATTAAACTCCTGTAAGATGCAATTTAAATCGGAATCGTCTTGACAAACTATAAAAGTGTCATCGACGTATCTTTTGTACAGCAGCAATTTGTTCATTGTTGGTTTAAGGATGCCGTTTTCCATGCTGGCCATGAAGCAGTCTGCTAGGAGTGGGCCAAGAGGAGAGCCCATAGCAATCCCGTCTTTCTGTCTATAGATGACGTCGTTGAACGTAAATTGTACGTTGAGTGTGCATCTTAATAACAACTCTTTTAGGTATGAGGTTGGTATTCCGATACTCAGGTTTTTGTCATCAATATACTTGCAAATTCTATAATTTATGTAAATGTTGTACGCAGCTTTACAGTTATCGTTTACTGATAACTTCTGAAGTTCAACATATGGCTCGTAATCATTACTATGGTTATAATAGTTATAATTATGGGATTATGTGCTCCTTCATAGTGTCTATCTATTGTTTCTACTCAAGGAATTGATGGCGGCAAATTGACCTTCGGATGGTTATTATTATTTTGTTTCCTTTAGTTCCTAGAGGAACCTAGGGCTTCAGCCGAACGTCTCCATTGCGTTCGGTTCTCTGCCAATGTTTTCACCTGGCTCCACGTCTGCCCACATGCTTTCATCTCCTCTCCACAAACCTCCTCCTCCATGTCACCCTCACACTGACGACCATCTTGCCGCTTCCCGTTCGGGTTTCCACTCGAGGGCCTGTCTTGTGATATCAGCGGATGGTTTTCTCAGAGTATGGCCAGCCAGTCCACCTCCATTTCTTCCTGCTTATTTGTTGCACAATTGGTTCCTGGTTGGTTCGCTCATTGCCAGAGATCTCTGTTGTTTATCTTTTCTGACCATTTGATCTTGAGTATTGAGCGAAGACAGCTATTGATGAAGGTCTGTACTTTGTTTGAGGTCCTTTCCGGATTGTTAATATATATATATATATATATATATATATATATATATATATATATATATATAATATCCGTTGGCGTGAGGCATTATGAAAGTTTTGGAAGAAACTAGACCCCGAGTTTCATGGGAACATTTAAGAACTAATTTACTATAATCACAGCGTGTTTGTCGAATCAAGACGGAATTTCACTGTACGAACCATAGTATTTATTCACCGAAGTACCTAGAATATTTATGTTATACACACCTCTTGGTTGTTATGTAATTGTGTAATAGATGATATATCGCTCACTTAATTCCAGTTATGTAATCCTTGTAATTAGTATTTTCATACAACTTTGTATGCTTTCTGTTTCGTATTTCAGGCGCAACATAATCAAGCTGAGTTATTTCTTGCTCAAAAGAAAGCGAATCAAATTTTGGGGTAAATCCATTTTCTTCTGTAATAATGACTGTTATTGTGGCTTGCATATCTAACCTCTAATCAACAAGTTTTTGTTTTATTCCTTTACCTTCCCATTGGAATATAGAGTTTTAATCTAGGGGCTTGAAGTTTCGGTAACAGTGGTGTTTATTTTCTTCTTTTTTTACGGGAATAGGTTGCTAGCCTCATGCCTAACCTTCCCTCTCTACCAGTTTTATTTCTCGCTCAGCGAGGTAAAGGACTGCGTCATTGGCCGGAGATTGAACCGCGGACCACATGATCGCGGGATCGGCGAGCATTCTACCACTGTGCCACCGACCACATAACTAACAAGTTATACTTTGTGAAATAATTTTTCGTTGGGGTTTTATTGTAGTATTCAAACCATCCATTATTGTAATGTAAATAGTATTGTCCCGTATTAGGAGTTTGAGAGTGGGATTGTGGTGTCATTTAGAGGTATGTTATGTACGTGGGGTTTTCTACAGGTGGATCAGCATTCCACCTGCGTTGGTAATTCACACTGGGGAGAAAGTTTTGATATTTCCACCTACAATTTGTGCATTCCTCATTGTTTTACTAAAAGTTTATTGCTTCTGGAGATTAGAATGTAGCAAAAGTCAAATGCTGTCTTGTAGAAATTAACCCTTCTAATTCTCCTTCAACCAAATATTATAACTGCAAATTAACTTTGTTTTTGGTTACAGGATTTCATCATGAGCTGACATTGGTTAGAGAGGACCATTGGAAAAACTGGGAGTACTGGACAGCTGTTTCGTCCTACCCATCGGGATTCGAACCCAGAACCTTCCGGTTACAAGGCGTGCTCGTAGACCATTAAGCCACTGGGACCCGCTCCAATGGCCAACGCATGAATTCTAACTTCTGCCAATTCACGACATAGCGTGACTGGCACTAGCCAATGTCTTCGGCGAGTATTTGTCCTCACTCCCGACCTGCTGCACCTTACTGGTCATGACATTGGCTAGTGGCCGCGCTATGTCATGAATTGGCAGAAGTTAGAATTCATGCGTTGGCCATTGGATCGGGTCCCAGTGGCTTAATGGTCTACGAGCACGCCTTGTAACCGGAAGGTCCTGGGTTCGAACTCTGGCGGTGGGTGCGTACTGATGAAGAGTCCCAAACTAGGACGAAACAGCTGTCCAGTACTCCTTGCAGGTTTTCCAATGGTCCTCTCTAACCGATGTCAGCTCATGATGAAATCCTGTAACCAATCAACCAAATCCCTACAAACCAACACTTGAATAACTTTATTTTTTAACATTCAAAGAAAGTTTTATCATCACAATGAGTACAGTCAATAGGTATTAGTCGCTTATATTTTCCCCCAGGGCACAGAAGTAGTGTACTGAAATTTGTTATTGCTTAGAAAAATTCTCATTTAAATGGTGTAAAAGTTACAAACTATCAGAGGGAAAGTGTATTTGTGACAGCTAAGCTACTGTATTCCCTGCTCAATTATGATGATTTTATGCCTTCTTCTGACTGGGGGATTAATCAATGTTAGCATAAAATTTACACTTTTTCTTGATTTTAATAATAATAATAATATTAATACCAATAGTTTATTGCATAAAATATTTACTCTGTATCCAGAAGTTTCAAGTATATTTCATGCAACCGGTTCCCTTTATTAGTTTGAAGAGAGAAAGAATGAACATGTTTGCAGGATAATACGAGTTCGTTTTATTTCGTGGATTCTCATCAACTGCATACATCCTAAACAAAATCAAATTATAGGTTTCAAGAAAGTTGTGGAACATACTTTTTCATAATAACTTTGAGTTATAGATAGAAGGCATAAGGAACATAATTCCAGAATTTGATGTAGGTAGACAGGTTATTCGGTGTCAAAAAACAACTAATTATATATAGTGGAATTAGATAAGAGGGGTAAGAGTTCAGATTTCTATTGGAAAACAACACAGATTGGTTAGAGGCATATTACAGGGTCAGGGTCAGAGAACAGAGTAAATTTACACATCTTGTGGTGGAGAGTTTAAGAGGGTGGGGGTGAATAGTGAAGTAACATTTATAACTTAAACAGACAAACAATTAAGTAGATTTAGAAACTTGAAGGTCAAAATTGAATAGAATGTTACGTAACAAGACAAACACACAGGCATACTGACAGAAAGGCAAAATAAAAATAAAATAAAATAGAGTTAGGGTTACCAAGGTAGTGAAAGATTAATCACACTATCTTTCTGTATACAAAGGTCTGGTCGAAATCTCTTGATAGCAATGGCTTCTGCGAAGCGAAGTAGCCGTGGGTTTCTTTGTGTATTGATTATTTTGAAGGCTTGGCTAATTTCTACTGTGTGTCCTGTGTCAATTAGATGTCTGGCGATTGCACTTGATAACACTTTTCTTCCTTTTGTACGGAGACTCTTAGGAATGTGCTCAGAAAATCTAGTAGATGCTGTCCTCTCAGTCCTTCCTATGTACTTGCTTCCGCAGGTGCACGTGAATTGGTAAATGCAGTTGGAGTTGACGTGAGTAGGGTACTCATCTACTTTTGACTGGGTTAACGAGCACACAGTGTTGTGAAGTAGGATCAGTCTGGCGGCTGGAAACGTTCTTTTTAATGCACCTGTGATCCTTTTTTGTGTTCTTGTGGATACGTCTTCCCCTTTGTACGCTAGACAGATGGAAACTGGTTTCTTTTCAACGGTGTCGGGTTTCGGTTTGTGTACTTCTTCATTTCTATATTTTAATATGAACTTTCGAGGATATCCATTCTCGATAAGGTTCTTTTCGATGATTTCAAATTCTGGAATTATGTTCCTTATGCCTTCTATCTATAACTCAAAGTTATTATGAAAAAGTATGTTCCACAACTTTCTTGAAACCTATAATTTGATTTTGTTTAGGATGTATGCAGTTGATGAGAATCCACGAAATAAAACGAGCTCGTATTATCCTGCAAACATGTTCATTCTTTCTCTCTTTCAAGTATATCATGTGTGACGCAATGATGTTTAGATCTGAAGAATAAAATTAATCCACTAGGGTATTTATTTTTCATTGATCCCACAGAAATGCTCAACGATAGACTGCTACAAACAAATTTAAAAAAAGGTGCACCACTACATCAGATACTCAGGGATATAACTGAATGGTTATAACAGCAAGAACTAAAAAAAAAAGAAAGATGCAGCATTGTCTCGGATGGAAATTCAGGTAGCCTGGAATTCAAGCAGGCTGCCAATAATCACTAGATAGGGTGTTGTTTTTTGTCAACAGTTATTAGTGTAAACTAGGGAATACATACTGAAAACACATTTTTTTGACGGAATTCAGAAGTGTACCTTGTAATTCTTGATTTCGCCTCAACAAATTAAAACAATAATAATAGTATTAGTAACATCCTTATTCTGAACGACTTTACACAGTGTACATGATTTTCAGCGTGTGAAGGTGAGACAGCGGACTTGATGACACCACTACTGAAAAAGGTGTGGAAAAAGCGCAACGCACCTGCGGATTGGAAGAAAAGCTACTTATTTAAACTGCCTAAGAAAGGGGACTTAGGTCAATGCAAGAACTGGCACGGGATTATGCTCCTGTCCATTCCAACCAAAACACTAAACGACATCATCCCAGAGAGAATCAAACAAGCCACCCTGGATGAAAAACTCCAACCGAAACAGGCTGGATTCAGAAGGAACCAGTCATGCATCGATCAAATCGCAACACTACTAAAAATCATTGAACAGAGCTTGGAATGACAATCAGCTAGCTCTCTATCTCAACTTCATTGACTTTGAAAAGGCCTTCGACAGCGAAGCGTCGATCGAGAGGTCATTTGGAAACTACCTCACTACTACGGGGTGCCATGAATAATTGCACACCTCATCCAACAGTTGTACGACAATGCTGCATGTCAAGTAATTCACAACGAAAACCTCACAGGATCCTTCGAAGTGAAGACGGCAGTAAGACAAGGCTAACTGCCTGCGTATCATTTCCAATGATTTTCCTGATTGTGGAAAGGAGACTGAATAATGCGATAGACAGCGGTGGGCAGTGAGGAAACCTGGCAAAAAATGCACCTACAGAAAAAACTTCGAGTATATGGACTTCGCCGATGACATATATGTGTCTGATTTCCCACAAACTCGAAGATATGCAAATGAAAAGCAACAAGTTGGCAGAAGAAGCATCCTGAGAAGATACGACTTCCTTCAGGTGAACATAGAGAAAACAGAGGTAGGTGATGAAGATTCCTGGCCAACAACAACAACAGCAACATCAAGAAACAACAATCAGCCAGCCAGCATGAATGGGAGAAATCTGAAAGAAGCAACCTCCTTCACCTACCTACCTGGGAAGCACCGTCGTGTCAACTACAGGCGGATGGAACTGACGAGGATATCAAGGTGAGGATCATCAGGAAAGTAAGGCAGGCCTTCATTTCTCTAAAGTTAGTGTGGAGAACAACAGCACTCAGCATGAAAAATAAGATCCTGATTTTCAACTCCAATATGAAGTCAATGCTGCTTTACTGATGAGAGACTTGGCGTCGCGTCACGAATGGCACTTCGAACAAACTATAGACCTTCATCAACAGCTGTCTGACTTGAAGTGCAAACCAACGCCTTATGCTATCTCTTCTTTGTCTCTTTCGAGAAATGCATGACATTTGGTTTAAAGTCAATTCTAAAATATTAAGGAGTGCATTTTTAGTCCCAAAGACATTATTCAAGAACAGTGTATCTCATGTATTAGGATACATTGTAACTCACAATTGTGCTTCTTCTTAACTTTTTAGTAGAAATTTGCTTATCACCAGGTACTAGCTAGAGCAAAATTATACCAATAGAGGTCATATATTTTAATCGATTAAAGCAAAGTGAACAGGGGGAAATGATAAGCAATTTAGCGATGGTTTTTTTAAACAATGCGTCAGTGGTAGAACTCTCGCCAACTATGCAAGTGGTCCGAGAATCGATCCTCGGCCAACGCTCTCCTAAACC